AGAGAAGTCACCTGCAGGGGGAGGGGTGGTTATGCCACAGTCCTTCCTTCACTCTTCTCCTGGGATCTTGGGCATGTACTCACACATGCCTGGCATGAGTTTCAAGCCACTGGGTCTGGGAGTTAAACCACGGTCAGCCTGGTAGGAGTCCAGTGATGTAATCACTATGCCATCTGCTGGCCCCAGTTTTGACCATATTAAATTGTTTTTGATCACGGTTTAATTAAATTTAATATCTATTTTACATTTTCCACTATTTGCTTTTTGTACCACTTCTATTTATATGGTTTTGAAATAGGATTATGAGAATTATTCAGTTCTGCCAGTGAATTTAATTTCACAGTAATATTAACAATGTTTTATAGGTCCATGAATTACCATGGCCCTTATGAATAAAACTTTAAGATCAGTCATGACTATTATGGTTTTAACATACATGTCTGTCTTCTTTAGGACATAAAGATGAGAACTCCAAAAGAGAAAAATGAGACAATTTCTAAGAAAATACCAGAACATGAAGTGGAGTACTCTCCATTATCCAATACTGTAAAGAATACAGGGAGAAGTGCATATGGAGGGTCTATACCAACCAGAAAAAATGATCCATTCCAAAAAGAGCAAGATCATCTGGTAGAAGAGGTTAGAAAAAGACTGTAATAAGTATACTTAAATATTTTTTATTTTTTTCAGTGGTACTAGGATCATAAATAAATGTAGTTAATTATTGAGTTACTGGGCTAATTTGGGAAAAAGGAGATCACAAATAATGTAAGACATAGCTAATACAAAATTAGTCCTCAAGTGGAAATAATTTTTAATATAAACTAATTTAATTTTAAGTTTATATCCATTGATTAAAACCTACTTCCCATTCTGCAGGGACGATCTGAAAGTATTAAAAGTAATACATGGTATGATATTTTGGGATTTAATATTATATAAATTGTTAGATGTAACAAATGATTATACTCTATCAAAATGCTTTGTTATTTTTGTCTGTTGTTTAACTGAACTACTTTTTTTGTTAGAACAAAGAATGAGATGTCATATTATCACTGAGCAAAGATTTTGTTCTTTTTGCTTTCTACAAATTTCAAAAGTGATTAAATGTATCTTTGTTCATGAACTTGATTTTCCTAACTAGACCTATCCCATAAGGCATTCTGCTTTTCACTGGTAGATAATCACATGTAGTCTCATTCAGTATTATAGCACTCAGTTTATACAAATTAAATACTCAAGCTATTCATTAATTTTTTTTTATTGTACGTATTCCTTAGCCTTGTTTGAATTTGATTACACAACAAATAAGTCAATTACTTTTTATTCCTGAGAAACTATAAGAAAAGTTTGACTTAGTAAATTATTAATTAAATAAATATTTAATTATAACTGCTTAGGTCACTGTGTAGTCAGAACTAGTTTACATTGTCCAAGTATAAGGTTTTTTTTTTTTTTTTTTTTACCTATTTCCTTTATAAAGAACATCTAAAAAAAAGGAAAAGTAGTTTTGTATTCCATTTCACCTTAAAGGATTATTCCTACATTATTTATACAGAGTGCTCTGGAGTTTCAGATAGTGCTTATATTTGTGCCATCTATTATGGGTTGGGCTCTTGATGTACTCTACCAATGGGCTTGGTTGTTTTTGCTTTACTTGTTCTTTTCTGTTTTAGGTTGCCAGAGCAGTTTTGTCTGATTCACCACAGCCCTCTGAAGGAAAAGAAGTAAAATTAGAGGAACTAATTGATTCTCTAGTTTCTAACCCTTTTTTAACAAGGAACCAGATTCCCCGAACTCCAGAAAACTTGAGTAAGTTAATGCTTTCTTGCCGTGTCCCACACAGCTAAATGAATGTGTGATCTGAGGGTTGTGGCCATGGATTTGAGAATAAACATAGAAATAAATACACAAAGACATACAAGTAAAGAAAAGCAGGGATTAGGTGGTCCTGACTCTTCTGATGGAGGCAGCTGGTTTAAAGAGCAGAATGGGGGAAGGGAAGTGGAATGCAAAGCCAGTTGTTTTCAGATGTAAATTGGCTGAAGATGAGAAGATACCTGGCTAGTCCCTATAGTCCTGTTTTCTGTAATCTTTGGCCAATTCTGAGTAATACATGTGACTTCCTTTAACTCAATACTGCTCTGCACTTTTAGAAACGTAGAGAGACAGTGTATTCACATGTTAATGACATTCATTGCCCTGCATATGACTGTCCATGGAATCACCTTTCTGCATGCGTTTATAGGTCACCATGCTGGCTCAAATTTGGGCTGCTCCTTACACTTTCTGTCTCTTCTTTCTTTCTTAGGCATCACCACTGTTAGAACCATGATCGAATAGATATTTTGATAACACACTTTAAAACTCTCTTCTATATATTTCAAGTTACTTAGCAACGACTATTCATTTTGCTTTAAAAACTTTTTGTAAAGTTGAGACCAGCAGTTAGTGTAATGGCTATGTTGCTGGACTCCTGTGTAGTTGACCGTGGTTCAAGTCCTGGACCTCGTGGCTTAAATTCATGCCGGGCCTGTGTGCATGCCTGCCCAAGATCCCCGGGGGGAGAATGGAGGAGAAGGGATCGCAGCATGGCCATACATACCCCCTGGAGGGTGATTTCTCGCTTTCTGTCTGTCTCTCTGGTCTCTGGTGAGCGCACGTGCCCTATAGCGAAAACCTCTTAAACAAAACAAAACAAAACAAAACAAAAAACTTTTTGTGAAGTTTATGAGTGGGCATGCTCATCTATAGAGGAGTCTTTCAGTACTATTATTTTATGACTTTAGAATACTCAGTATACAGAGGTTTAATTAGCCCTGGTGATATACATGGTATATATATGTCAGTAATTTTTTTCTCTTTGTTTTTGTTGTTTTACTCTTTTTTTTTTCTGGAAAATATTTTACAGATCACTTTAAAAATTCTCTGCTTCTTGATCTGACTTGTGATCCAGATTTATAAAGTATAGAGACTGTGCTCTCCCAGTTAACAACCAGAAGCACCACCCAAAAACTGTGTGTGCATAGAGTACCTCTCCCAAATGAGTCAGACTGCTTAATACTCTCCCCCTATATCCTACAATTTGTATAGGTAAAGTCCTGATGTTGGTGTCCATATGAAGGCAGATTATCATGGTTGAATGGTTAAAAATATAATTTCTGGGGCCAGCCAGTGGTATAGTGGTTATGGCTGTATCCGATGTGACTGACTTTGCAGTTTGAGTCCCAGACCTGGAAGCTTGAAGAACACAATAGGTGCATGTGTATACGTGCCCAAAATCCCGAGAGGAGAAGGGATTGTGGTTTGGACGCATCCCCCTTGGGGGATGCTTGTTTGCCCTCTCTACCCACCCACCCGATCCTGTCTCTCTAGTGCTTACATGTGCCCTGTAACAAAATTTAAGAAATTTAGGTTGAACTAAGCTACAGTGTAGAATACGGTATGTGAATCAGATATGGCCCCAGTCTGCATGTTTTGTAAATGAAACCATTGAATACAACTTTGCTCATTTACTGATACACTGTTTTTGTTTTTTTTTTTAAATAATTATTTTATCTTTATTTATTTATTTTAATTTGACTAGAGAGAGAGAGAGAAGAAGGAGAGAGAGGGAAAGTAAGAAAGTAGCTGCCAGTTTTGGGATTTAAACTGCAGTTGGCCATTTGGTAGTCCAGTGCTCTTAACTACCACGCAACCTGCCAGCTCCTTGATACACTATTTTACAGTAGTACCCCTTATCTGCAGTTTTAGTTACTTGTGGTCAATTGTGGTCCAGAAATAGGTGTGCACAGTTCAATAAGATTTTTGTTTTGTTTTGTTTTGTTTTTTGGGGTTTTTTTGGAGAGGTTTTTCGCTATAGGGCGCGTACGCTCGCCAGACAGAGAGAGACATAGAGACAGAAAGCGAGAAATCACTCACCCAGGGGGGTGGGTCATGCTGCAATCCCTTCTCCTCCATTCTCCTCTCGGGATCTTGGGCACGCACGCACAGGCGCCCGGCGTGAGTTTTAAGCCACTGGGTCCGGGACGCGAACTGTGGTCGACTACATGGGAGTCCAGCGACATAGCCATTACGCTAACTGCTGGTTCCCAGTTCAATAAGATGTTTTGAAAGCAAGAGAGACCACATTCACATAACTTTTATTACAGTACATTTAAAAATTATTTTTATTTTTTAATTTCCAGCAGGTGCATTTACTTTGCCAGAGAGACAGAAAGTCAGAAAGCACTCTCCGAGGGGGCTTATGCCTTAATCCCTTCTCCTTCATTTCTTCCTCCTGTTGGGATTTGGGGCATGCATACACAAGCACTGGTATGTTTTTCAAGCTACTGGAGCTGGGATTCAGTCCATAGTTGGCCATGTGGGATCTGACTCCCTTAACCAGTAGGCTGCAGAGCTTGCCTTACATTGTTAGAATTGTTCTATTTTATTATTAGTTGTTCTGTTAGTTAGTACTGTTCATGATTTCAGGCATTCTCTAAATGTCTTGAGACAGGTACCTGGCAGATAAGGGGGGGACTGTTGTGCATTCATGCTACAGTGGCATAGTTGAGTGATTTTAACAGTCTTGATAGCCTGCTAAACCTAAAATATTACTATCTGGCCCTTTACAGAAAACGCTTGTGAAACCCTGTCCTAGATGGACAAGAAAATCTTTTTTTCCTTTTAAAGTGTATTTATATCCTCCATAAGCAAGAGAGACAAAAAAGAGAGACAGCACTTCTGAGAAGATCCTGATGCTGTGATCCATCCACAGCCCCATCTTACACTGGATCCTGGGCATGTGCATGCCTAACATATTCAGGGAAACTTCTGGACATGAACCCAGAACTCCTCTGTTTCAGCCTCACAGAGCATTGCATTTTACTGCTGTACAACATCTGGCCCTGGAAATGTCTTTTTACCACACATAATTCATATGCCCTATGTTATATAATATGAACATTTCAGGAATAGTTTTTGTTATATATGTTAACTTGTATTTGATGAGTTGGAGATAGATTTCTTTAGTGTTGGAGTTTATTATACTATGGAGCCTTGTTGTCCAACCAATATGTTTATGAACATATACTGAGTCAGTAGCTATATCTTTTTTTTTTTTTTTTCTTTTTAGGGGTTTTTGCTATAGGGCATGTGCACTCACCAGAAAGACAGAGAGAGACAGAGAGATAGAAAGCGAGAAATCACCTCGCAGGGAGGATGGCCACCCCGTAATCTCTTCTCCTCCATTCTCCTCTCGGGATCTTGGGCACGCACACACGTGCATGTGCCCGGTGTGAGTTTAAGCCACCAGGTCCGGGACTCGAACTGCGGTCAACTACATGGGAGCCAAGCGACATAGCCATTATGCTAACTGCTGGTCCCAGTAGTTGTATCTTCATCACTAGACATATTTAATTACAAGCTCTTAGGTTTGAGAATATTAATAAATTGTGTTTTTTTTTTCTTCCCTTTAATTAGTAACTGAAATTAGGACTTCATGGAGAAAAGCTGTTGAAATGGAAGATAACAGAAGTAAAGAGCCAATTCAGATGGATACTGAACACAGAGAAGTGTTGCCAGAATCCTTCCCTGTGTTGCATGATAATCGGAGCACAGCCAGTTTCCTCTCAGCTACCACTGTAGCAGATACTGGCCAGTCTCATTTGCCTGAGGAGAAAGTTGTTTCAGATTGCCTCACATATGGACCTAGGAACCATGTGATGGCCAGTCACATGGTTGAACCAGCAACACAAAATCATTCAGATTTGTTAAATAAGAAAATAATTTGGAAGCAAGATTCAGAATGTACAGGTTTACCAACGAAGCTTTCAGAAACTACCCAAATAGAGACACTGTCCCCTGCTATAGGCAGTAAGATATATATGATGGGTAGTAGCAAAAAGGAATCTAATAGAATATTGGACTGCTCACAGGCTTCTTACAAAGAAACTCCCCTGCATAAAACTGTGTTATGGAACTCTTTTCAAATTTCAAGTGAAATTAGTTCTAAGAGTTTTAAGAATGACGATTTTGGTATACTACATGAAACTCTCCCAGAAGAAGTTGGTCACTTAAGTCTTAACAGCTCTAGTAGCTCAGAGGCCAATTTTAAGCTAGAGCCAAATAGTCCTGTGCATAGTAACATTTTTCCAGAAGATATTGTAGGAGAAAGACAGACTACTCTAGAAAAAGACTTCAGCTTACAGGCTATTCGCAGTAGATCTGAGGCTCTGAAGAAATGTCTTTCCAAGAAGAGAGAAGAATCTGACCCCTTTAATTCTGAAACACTTGAAAGACACAAACCAGAATTGAGCACTACTCACCAAAACATGCAAACAGATGATATACTTAACTTTTCAGATATTCATGATTTGTACATTGACTATACAAAACCATCATTACACATGTCTCCTGGTGAAAGAAAACAGTCTCTTTCACCACTAATAAAGTTTTCTCCAGTGGAGCAAAGATTGAAGACTACAGTACCATGTAGTCTTGGAGAACCACCTAATTTAAAAGGTAAGATTTAACTAGACCTGTGCATATTCATTCACCTGTTGAAGTTTTTTCTTAATGTTTCATAAAAATAATTCACAGTGAGTACCTGCATGATCTTAGTTGTTAATATGACAAAGTTTGCTTCTCATTCCTCCATCTAGGATGAGAAGAGTGAACTATTATGGGTAACTTTCGAATCTCTATTCATATGAACCTATTTTATAGTTAGTTTGGAATAGGTATAAAAAAAAGAGAAAAACACCCAAGCTGGAAACTTACTGATATTGTAATACAAAGTACTGAAAGTAAATCTATCAAAATCTTGTCTAGTAGAGGTGGTTTTTTTAAAAGTTGAGAAACACGGGACCGGCAAGTGGCATGGTGGTTAGAGGCGCTGGATTCCCACATGGCTGACTGTGGTTCCAGTCCTGGACCTGGCGGCTTGCTTTCTCACTTTCTCTTTCTCTCTCTCATTCTATATATTTTTTTTTTTTTTTAAAGGTTTTTGTCATGGGCCATGTGTACTCACTTGAGACAGACAGAGAGAAGGACAGTGAAAAATTATTCCTCGGAGGTTCAGCCACATTGCGAATTCATTGAGAATGAGGGAGAACCTCATTCTCTCCTTGGGATTTTTGGGCATGCGTGTACATGTGCCTGGCATGTTTTTCATGTGAGATCCGTGCCTTAATCACCATGCCACCTGCTGGCCCCAGAAACACTACTTTAAGTGTCACTGTTATAATACTATACCTATGCTTTACTTTGAAATAAATATGATGGGAGTGCAGAGCAGAAACAAAACATTGGTCATTGTATTAGTTTCCTAGGGCTGCCATAAAAATATACTACGTGTTGGGTGGCTCAAAACAACAGAAATTTATTGTCTCTGGAGACTAAGTTCTAAAGGCTAGATGTCTAAAATCAAGGTATTGGCAGGACCATGTTCCCTCAAAAGTCACTAGGCCCTCATTGCCTCTTCCAGCCTCTGGTGTCTCCTGGCATTCCTTGGCATATGGCAGCATAATCTAATCTTTGTCTTTATTTTCATGGTGTTCTTTTATACGTGTATCTTCTCATCAGGACACTAGTTGTATTGTTTTTGTTTTTTTAGAGGCTTTTACCTTAGGGTGCTTGTACTCACTGGAGAGAGATAGGAAGAGAGAGAGAGTGAGACAAACACAGTGAGAGGGAAAGTGAGAAATTACCCCCCAGAGAGGATGGCCATGCTGCAATCCCTTCTCTGTTCTCCTGGGATCTTGGGCATGCACACACACATGCCTGTTGTGATTTTCAAGCTGCCGGGTCCGAGACTCAAACTGTAGTCAGCCATGTGGGAGTCCAGCAATGTAACTGCTGCGCCATCTGTTGGTCCCAGTTGTAGTGTTAATTAAGGTCCCACCCTACTCCAGCATGATCTCATCTTAGCTAATTATATCTATGTGGACCATATTTCCAAATTTGGTTAATTCTTAAGTACTGGGGTTAGAACTTCATATCTTTATGGGGAACATAATTCAACTTTTAACAGTTATTGAGCTGGCCTGTAGCCCAGTGGTTAAGAGACCTCGAACCCACATGACTGACCATAGTTTTAATCCCAACTCCCGTGGCTTAAAAAACACACCAAGGGGACCAGCAGTTAGTGTAAGGCTATGTTGCTGGACTCCCATGTAGTCGACTGCGGTTCGAGTCCTGGACCCAGTGGCTTAAACTCATGCCGGGCGCGTGTGCGTGCATGCCCAAGATCCCAAAAGGAGAAGGGATTGCAGCATGGCCATCCCCCCTGGGGGGTGATTTCTTGCTTTCTGTCTCTCTGTCTCTCCCTGTCTGCCCTATAGCAAAAAACAAACAAACAAAACACACCAAGACATATGCTCATTTCCAACATCCTCACAGAATGGAAAAATGGAGAAAGGGGATTACTGTGTGACCATTCCCTGTTGGGGTATGCTCTTTTTCTCTCTGTCTCAGGTGAGCACATGTAAACTCTGGCAACTGAAAAAATTATTTAAGTTAGGTAATAGGTACATTGGGTTAATCATAATTTTCTTCACTTTTGTACATTTGAAAATTTTCACCATAGTTAAATTGATCTTATAGCATGTTAGGACAGATATGGATATGGTGATACAGATTTGTTATATGTCACTTTGACTTGCCATTGATAATTAAACACTGGTATATTGAAAATATTTTACTACTTGGAATCTGTCTTATTTATTTTTGTAATGTTGGCTTATTCCTTTTTTATTTACCTCAATTTTACAGAAGAAGAACTCTTGAGAAAGAGCCTTGATTGAAAAGAATCTCTGCCTGACATGACAAAATGAAGCATTATCCAGCTAATTTAACTATGATGCACTTAAAACTGAAGCTCTGTCATCGGATAGATTTATAACTTAAATGCTTGTTGGAAGTGTAATACTCTCAAGTCCTGAAAAATCTTAAATGCTTTCTAAAAGCTTCCTGTAATGTTTTTAGGTGAGGGAAGTGTGTCTGTTTTTTTTTTTTTTTTTCTTTCTTTTTGTAGGGGTTGGTATTAAAGTATGAAGTATTTGGAAATCAAAAGTCAATTATGTGAGCCTTTTTTTCTTTTTTCATAGGCACTTGTGCTCCCCTGAGAGAGGGAAAGTGAGAAATCACCTGTCAGGGGAGATGGCCTCTTTGCCATCCCTTCTCCATTCTTGCATGATTTTGGGCATGCACACACACATGCCCACCATCATTTTCAAGGCACTGGGCCTGGGGCTCAAGTCACGGTTGGACATGTGCAAATCCCATGTCTGAACCACCGTGCCACCTGCTGGTCCCTGTGCGAAGCCATTTTGATTTCTGAATAATTTTTTTAAGCATTAAATATATGAAAAAAGTAGGTTTAACTAATTTATTCTGTTAGGATTCCATTTAACATGAGTAGCATTTTTTGTACTTTTACCTAGTGGTTAATATAGCTACTGAATATACTGATTTTTCATTTTAGAGAAATGTACAACTTTTATGGTTTCTTCGTGAATCATTTTGTACTAACCAACAAAAGAGAGAAAAGTAGTACCTTGGAATATGGAGTCAAGATGACAGATTTTAAGATTGGGTAAGCTCCAAACAGGTTTAATCATTATTCAAATAGGTCGATTCTGAGAAGCGATGTTTGATGGAATGAAGTGCATGTAGTATTAAATGAAGACTGAGGCAGAATGAATTTAGAAAAAGGAAAAGATGGAAGCTGACTAGACACTTTTAAAGAACTGAAACTATAAATCCATTTAGTGGATTGTGTAACAGATTGAGATTTAGTCTAATTTAGACTTTGAGAATTTAATCCTAGCTTATTTTAAAGTAAAAATTCATTAGTTTTTAAATATTTATTTTTTTTAAGGGAGGTTCTGTTTTGGGAAAGGAATTAGTTTTGATTATGTTACTTTACAGCTCATAACCCACCAAAGGAGTCCAATTGTCTATAGGTTAGTCCCAAAATAACTTGAGAAAATTGAATTGGGTTAAATAACTTAGTGCTCATGCAGTCTCCTGCCTTACTCTGTTGGGGACTTTTGCCCCAGAAAAGGGCTTGTTCCTAGCATCCAAGTGCACATATGCCATTGCCCTCCCTGAACCAGGAAGAATTGGAAGAGCCACTGAAAGGGTGATAGCACCTACAATATGCTTTCTAAAGCCTGAATTTGTAATTATCAAAACCTTGTCCCCTGGCATGGAGAGGAGAAAAGTTTGATGGGAAAATTCCGTAAGTAGATGGACTTAATAGTTCATCTTTCTTCACTTATCTTGGGCTGCCTTTCTCTCTTTAAGTTGCCCTGTCCCAGTTTGAAGACGTTTTTCTGGGAGAAAAGACAGAAGAAAGCACATATAACCACTTTTTTTTTTTTTTTTTGTAGCGGAAGAGAAAGAAACTTCTCATGTGCTATTTACCTTTATTAGTTAACTCAGGTTTCTGCAGATGTACTGGGAAACCATCCTGTAGTGTGTTTTAAGAAAATCCAGTATCTGAAAATACAATATTAGTATGTTATGGATGAGGTATGGCTATCATACTGGTATCTGCAAAGTGCCAGGGCCATTGGGTAGACACGTTTAATACATATTAGCTAATTATTACAACCTCATAAGGTAGTGATTATACCTATTTTAAAGATGATACATAAGCAGGGAGTGTAGAACTCAAGAACCAATCTATTAAGATCATTCAGGATGCATCTAAAAATTGGGGTCTAACACGGGAATTGGGAATCTGCATTTTAAATTTGCTTCCCTGGAAGTTTGAAAACCCGCCTGCTGGAGAGTAGATTAACATTTAACTGTGGGGTAACTTTAAGAAGCAGGTACACCATTTACATTTATATGGCTTTAGAGAATGTTAAGTATCTGATAGGGAAATTCACCAGTAAGATATAGGAGGCCCTTAGTGTCTGTCTTTCTCTTAATCCACTGTCAGTGTGACTGTTTTTTTTGGGGATTTTTTTTGAGATTTTTGTTATAGGGTTCATGTGCTCGCTTGCTGGAGAGACAGACATAGAGTGAGAAATCAACCCCCCAGGGGTATAGCCACGTCACAGTCCCTTCTCCATTTTCCTCGTGCAATTTTTGGCATGCACGCACATGCACCTGGCATGAGTTTTAAGTCACAGGGCCCAGGATTTGAACCGAGGTTGAGTATATGGGAGTCCAGCGAAGTAACCATTACACCATCTGCTGGTTCCATCATTGTGACTTTTTGTCTTGAGCCTCTTCCTACCCAGCATCTCCTGCTTAGTTGCTTTTCACCCTTAAGGAACTACTTTTGTCATGTTATTTCCTTGCCTAAAATTCCATTAAAGGTTCATTGCTAGTTCTGGAATAGAGTTCAAATTTAAGAGATTTCCTCTATTCCCACTTCCACTATGATCACCCATTTCTTTTTACTGAAATGCTCCAGTGAGCATGGGTCTTTAAAAATCTTGGTTCCCAAGTCTCCTAAAGCTGGAATACCTTACCTTTCCTTTCTGCATTGTTACAATTAGTTTTTTTTTCCTAAAGGCTCAGAACAAATCTCACTTCTGTCTTGAAAGCTTAATTTATCCTTTTCTATGTGCCTATCCCTTCTCTGTGACTTCTTATGATTTATCTTGACTTTTTACTCATTTAATATTTCATTAACTTGTTTTATAGTTTTTCTATGTGATCTCTCCAGTTATATCAGTTATGTAAAAAATACATATATCCCAAGGCCTGTGTATCATTTTTAGCAAATACTTAAATGTTGAAATTATTTGGCTTGGCTCCTACATGATGGAATAAAAGTACTGGTAAAAATAGGGCAAATTTACTGCTATAAATGTATTTTTTCTCATTATATTCATTTGAGAGAGATTACAAAGAATGTACATTATTCTGCTCGCAATTTTTAAGATATAAAGGTATATAAACTGATCAAAACTTAGATAATGCCAAAATGTGCTGATTATTTTAAATGTCTAAAGAGGACAAACATGTAATGTTGGTAAACCTTAAAAAAGTTTTAAAGTGAAATAAAACAGTTGAAGTTAAAAACATTTGGAGGGAATTTAACAGAAAACAAAAATATTCACAAGTATTTTGAAAGGTGTGGGATTCAATGAAATGCAAGAGAAAACAGGCAATCTACTCAAGGAGATGACAAAATTATTTCATGACTTAAATGAGAAACTCTATAAAAAGGTAGACTCTATAAAATAGAATCAAACAGAACTTCTAGAGATGAAGACTATGATGCAGGAAATCAAAACCTCCCAATTTTGAAACCCTTTCTTTACCATGTTTTTCTTAACTATAAACTAGGAAGTCAGTTTTATCTAAAGGAAAAAAGAATTTTTGAGACCTGTATAACATCAAACTATACATATTTTTCCACTCTGAGGGTACTGAAGTTCAACAAAATAAAAATTCATTTAAGGACATTTCCCTTGATGTAAAGGAGGGAGTATATTGAAGTGAAATTCTCTTTTGCATCAAGTTGTACTACATGGTTGTTTGCTCTAGAGATCACCCTTTCCCTGTGCACTGTGAGCAGCAAGTCCACATCCTATTTAAAATATGAACCCTCTGTGGGGCTGTTTGTAAATATGTTCAGTGAACTACTGTCTTGAGTAAATATTTCATATTGTATAATCTGGCTCTGGAATTTTCTATATTAATAATCCCACAAAAGCCCTGCAAACCACAAAATTATCACACACAAAGGTATATACATTGATAACTTGATAAAAAAAAATTGATTCAGTGATTTAAGAGTATTTTGCTACTGCTATTTAATTATCAAAGTGCCACATGTTTTAAAATTATTTTTAAAAGTGTATTATCAGAGTTTTCTTACCTAGAGAGTCTCTACATTAACTTAAGCCAAATTAGATGATTAGATGATCCTAATTAGATGATTTTGTGACTTACATCTATCTTTTTTGCATTTCATGGATAGGGACCTGGTTATCCACATCCACTGCTAAAAAGGATAAATGTTCTTATAAATCCTAAAGTCCTGCCAGTTATATGTACAGTCTATATAAAGATATTGCCTCTGTAAAATGAGAGATTTAGAGAGGCTGGTCAGTGGTCTCTGGCTATAATACACTTAAATTTCATCTCAAACAATCTAAGACAGCTATTGCTGGAAGTGGAATGGGAGATTTTAGGTCTGTTTTCTGATTTCATTATATCACATTGCCAATGCAAATTAGGAACCTGAGAATCCTTCCCCAAAAGTAGGTAATCTAAGAATCTAATTCAATGTCCAATTTCCAGATAAATATAAATAGGAAAGTGATCTTGCACAAAGTGAAAGAAACACTTCCTTCAGAGGCCAGGGGGCATGATGATTAAGGTGCTGGACTCCTACATGGTTGACTACGGTTTGAGTCTCAAACCTGGATGCTTGAAAATCCATCTGTTGCTTGTGTGACCAGAGCCCCAGGAGGAGAATGGAGGAGAAAAGGGATTGCATGTAGCTCTCCCCTTCAGGGGGTAATTTCTCACCTTCCCTCTGTCTCTGGTGAATACAGGCCTATGGCAAAAACCCTTTTAAAAAAAAAAAAAAGGCACTTTGTGGGCATTAGCTTCCTCAGTATGTAAATTTGGAATTATCAATATATGAAGGAATAATCTACACCTACAAAGCTAGAATTTTTATGATGAGCTTTTCTTTCAATGGAGGAATTAAGTGTAGTGTAATAGTTAAAAGAGAAGAGTGTGTAGTCTGATTGTCTTGAGTTTAGCTGTAGGACAGTTTACTTAACCATTAAAACAAAGAAACCTATCTCATAGGTTGTGCTGATTAAGATAAATGTACAAGTAATTAAGAATATCTGGCACTTGGGTCTAGCAGGTTGCATGGTAGTTAAGTATGCTGGACTCCCATGTGGCTGACCATGGTTCAAGTTCTGGACCTGGCGGCTTGTTTTCTCACTTGCCCTCTCACTCTGTCTCTTTCTGGTCAAATTAAAATAAATAAGTAAATAAATAAAGTTAAATAATTCTTAAAAATATCTGGCACTTAATAAAGGCTAATAATTTGGGGAGAATGGCTCCGTCAATGACGATAGCTGTTAGGTATGTACTACCAAGTATGTGCTAGGCACCAATTCTATGAAGTTGTATTCTTACCCACGTTACAAATGAGGAAACAAGCACAGTGAAATTAAATATCTTGTCCAAGTTCACAGAGCTAGTAAAAATGAAGAGACCAGAATACTAACTCAACTAGCTGTGTGGTCTAGCTCCAGAGTCCACAGTCTTAACCACTCTGCTACAGATGCTAAGTGGTGGGGGCTAAGTTCACAGAATCAAAATCGCTTGTTAAGTAATACTTACAAGCATTCAGAATCTTTAGATTTACATATTAAGCACCTTCAAATTATTTCAAATAAGACCATATTTTAAATTGCTAACATCAATTGTTTATTCATGATTGAAGCCAAGAGGAATTTATAAATTCATTTTAATACCTTGCTGATAAAATAGTGACATTCCATCTTTGCAATCTGATAAGGAATACAGGAAGATACTGGTAAAGCCTTTTTGTGCATATCTATTATAACCAGGCAATCAGAACACACACAAACCATCTACTTTAGTGTTACACCATTATCAACTTTTCAGAAAGGCAAGATACTGGTAAAGCCTTTTTGTGCATATCTATTATAACCAGGCAATCAGAACACACACAAACCATCTAGTGTTACACCATTATCAACTTTACAGAAAGGCCATCTTGAAGCTCTCTACTGGATAGCTGAGTAAATAGCGTCCAATATTTTAAGACTAGGGAGTGGGTAAGGGAAAGATGGGGTAGTAAGCAGCACACATCTCAAAGCTCACTTTTACACACATGACATCATGAATTTTAAAAATAAAGGGTGCAAGGGAAAAAGGCAATTCAGCATTTTCAGAAATAGCATTTGGCAATATTCAACGCATAAGGAGACTGTGCTTGGGGCCATCCACTCTCTCCAGCTTCTCAAAATGTTTCCTGGCATTGCGAATGTTGATCAGAGTAGCTGCAGAAGGAATCGAGGGATCCGACATAACAACCATCACGTACGTGTTTGATGTGAAGATGTCGATGAAAGCAGCGAAGTTAGAATTCCTAACTTCCATGCTCTGGAAAGAAGCGGCCAATTTACTGCAGCTCAGCTTGAACTGCTTAATGATGTTGCTGATCTTCTCAAAGCGGTGGACATCACGCTGCTCTTTGCACTGGTAATGGGAAATAACCAAAAACGTAGCTCTCTCGAACAGCAGAACTTCATCGGCCTCGATAATCTGGGCAAAATTCCTGAGGTTCATCTCTAGCTGCTGAACGTTGGGAATCAGCTGATAGACGATACTGGACCAGGCTTTGTAGAGCGTTTCATCCCAGATGGACGTTCGGAAACAAGCGCACTCCAGGGGGCGAGACAAACGCCTCAGGTCTTCCTCTCGCTCTTTAAAAATCAGGTCACGCTGATCCTCCTGAACCAGATCCATTTTGTGTACCAGGCAGAAGATTTTGGCGTCAGGAGAGTTCTGGAGGATGGCCTCCAGACAGGACTGGTAATAATGCATGTCCTTCTCCAGTTCGCGGCTCTCCACGTCAAATACGTAAATCAAAACCTCGACATTCCGGAAGATGTTGTCTCGCTGGCTGGTGAAATAATTTTCCATGAAGGTGTCCTGGCCGCCACAGTCCCACAGGTTCAGCACCAGGTTCCCCAGGAATCGGACATGGGAATGCTCCACATCAATGGTGGCCCCCAGGCGCCGGGTGTCGCGAGCGATGTAATTTGCAAAGATAATCGACCTCATGCTGGTCTTCCCCGACCCTCCCCATCAGCAGCACCTTTTTCTTCATGGCTGTGTTTGGCATCACCTGCCGGGGCCGCCGCGGACTGGGCCTGAGGGCGCGGCCTAGCTGCAGCGCCGAGCGAGTGGTCAGGCGCCGGGAGTTCCGCGGGTTGGGCCTCGGTCTGCGCAGCCGAGCGGTCGGGCAAGCTGGGAGCGCGAACTCCGGGCTGGGAAGGCCGTGGCGGGGCTGGCTTTCTCCGAAAGCGACTGGGCGGACGGCTGCAGCAGCTCGGGACACTCGCTCGCCTTCCGGAGAAGTGAACCGCCGCGTCCTCGCCACCACCCACTTCCGGTGGTGGTCTCGCGAGACCCCCGCGCTCTGCCGTCACTGCACCGCGAGCTTTGAGAAGCTGCTCGTTTAATGAAATCCAACCAGGGCCTCGTGGGAGGGAAGATGGAAGGGAAAACCGAGGACTCAGGTGTTTTTAGTCTTCTATTTAAGCTGGGTTCGCGGTTGCCAGGTGGTACGTACGTATATGGTTGGTGGGAGAGTGCTGCCCTCTTGTGGCCAAAAGCACCACCACCAATGACGCAACTCGTTGTAGGCGCGAGGTGTGCCTGGGTACTTTCAGGTAGGGGCAGCAGATAGCTGAAGTGGAAGGCGGTCCTCTAACTTCTCATTCCGCTCAGGCCTCCCCAGGTTCCTTGCCGCATGAGTACTAGAGCAGGACTAGAGAAAACGACAGATAAGGAAAGCCAGTTTGGAGAAGTCAGGTGATTGCGCAGTGCTACACAGCCAGGTGATAGGAAATCCCTAGCAGGAGACCCGGATTCAGTCAGTGCTTTTTCCACTTTGAGGCAAGTGCTTCTCACAGACTCGAAAATTTATAATTAAAATTGCAGAGCTGCAGGAAATTGTAATACGGAACCTCATGCTTAAACTCCAACCTCACCTATGAATAAATGACCCTATTTTCAAGTGAGAAACTCAAAGCTTCAGAAGATTAAGTAACTTCAAGTTATGTGGATATCAAATGATGAAATGGAATTTGGATTCACACAAGCTAAATTGTCTACTAATAGGCTACACTGTATCTCTAAAAACTTATGTTCAACCAATCGAGTGTGAGTGTAAAAACAAAGACATTTGCACATGCAATGTCTTGAAATTTTTACTGCCCTCACACTTTTCATCAGAGTGATTGGAAGAGATGTGTTTCACCAAATGAGTTAATAAGCCAAAAATGAGGAAGACATGGCATCAAGGGAAAAGGATCTTCAAATAAGTGAATGAACCAGTGACATTTAGTATCCTTCATTCAGAATGAATCCATATCATCAGGAAATTAAATTTACTAAGTCAGGATATTCCTTATCTACAGTAAAGCCTTTTCCAAAGTCTATACACTATTGCATAAATTCAAGTATTCTTCCATTCATTCAAAAATTACTCGAATACCTATTTTAATGTAGGGCACTGAGTTAATGTGTGTTGTGTGCAGAAGAAAAGTTCAAAAATGGTCCTTGCTGGGACTGGCAGTTGGCGTGGTTAACAGCTCTGGACTCCCACATGGCTGACTGGTTCGAGTCCCGGATCTGGCCTCTTGCTTTCTCATTTTTCCTACTCTCTCTCGCTCTCCCTCTCTGGTCAAATTTTAATTAATTAATGAATTAATTAATTAAGTTAAATAAAATAATTTTTTCAGGGGAGAGGTTTTTGCTATAGGGCATGTGCGCTCACCAGACAGACAGAGAGAGACAGAGAGAGACATCCCCCCCAGGGGGGATGGCCACGCCGCAATCCCTTCTCCTCCATTCTCCTCTCGGGATCTTGGGCATGCACGCACATGTGCCTGGCATGAGTTTTAAGCCACTGGGTCTGGGACATGAACCGCGGTTGACTACATGGGGGTCCAGTGACATAGCCATTATGCTGTTGGTCCCAATAAAATAATTCTTTAAAAAATGGTACTTGCTTATGGAAATAATACAGTGAGTTGTCATAATACAAAATAGTATATGGAAAATCTTAATATAGTAGTCTCCTTATTCACAGTTTCTCTTTCTGTAGTTTCAGTTACCAAAGGTAAAGTATAATAGATATTTTGAAAGAAACCACATTCATATAACTTTTATTACAGTGTATTGTTATAACTGTTTACTTACATTATTATTACTTATTGCTAATCTCTTACTGTGCCCAACTTATAAGTTAATCTTTATCATAAGTACGTATATGTATAGTGGGAAACAGTGTGTGTATAGAGTTTGGTACTGTCCACAGTTTCAGGCATCCATTGGAGGTCTTGGAACTTATCCTCCATAAGGGGGGACCACTATGTATTCAAACTCAAGTTCGTCTCCTTGGTGACATCTCTTCTGGGACCTTTGGCTCTACTCCAGAGATCCATTATTCTGGAGTTTCCCGTCTTCATTGTGTTGGATATCCTTTTTCCTTGATGTCATATCTTCCTCATTTTGGCTTACTAACTCATTAGGTGAAATACATTTCCCAATAACTTCCTGATAAACAGTACGAGGGCAGTAAAAATGTAAAGACTTTGCCTGCCTGAGAAAGTCTGTTTTTACCCTCACATTCGATTGGTTGGACATAATTTTCCCTTGGAGTCTCCCATTGTCTTTTTTTTAAGAACCATTTAATTTAATTTAATTCATCATCATTATTATTATTATTTTGAATTTGTTGGTGATGTATTTCCTTTGTTCTCTGTTAAATAAAGCTTATAGAAGGCTTATTGGTTTACACTGAACTTCTACAGTAGACCCAATAGACTAAACTAAAATGGAGTCATTCATGCCAAAGTTCTATGTCAGCAAGTTACCTGACCTACTGTGCAATCAGAAGAGTGAGAGATGGGACCAGCAGTTAGCGTAATGGCTATGTCGCTGGACTCTCTCGGAGTCGACCGTGGTTCAAGTCCTGGACCTGGTGGCTTAAACTCACGCAGGGCACGTGTGTGTGCGTGCCCAAGATCCTGAGAGGAGAATGGAGGAGAAGGGATTGTGGCATGGCCATCCCCCCTGGGGGGTGATTTCCCGCTTTCTGTCTCTCTGTCTGTCTGGCGAGTGCACGCGCCCTATAGTGAAAACCTCTTCAAAAAAAAACCAAAAAAAAACCCCCCAAAAAACAGAAGAGTGAGAGATAATAGCCAAATTCCCAGACAGGCTGGATTTAGCAAGTATAATAAGGAAGTCCCCTCTGCTTTAATCTTTATAAGAAAAGAAAATTTGAAACAACCAATCTACTTTTTCTTTTCTATTCCTGCTTTTCTCGGCCCTATTCTGCCTATAAAGCCACATGATTCACTACTTAGCTCAAGGAAATGTTCACTCTATTTTATGAAATGAAGTGTTGTTTGATTCTAGGATTGCAAATAAGGCCAATTAAATTTTTTCATGATTTTCTAAAAAAAGTTTATTTCTTCACTGAATGAGAGGGACAAAAAGGAAGAGGGGGGAAGAGAAAGAGACAAACAGCACCCAATGAGGTCATGCTGTGATCCACTACCAGCCCTGGCTATGAGTACGCGTGTGCCTTATGTACTCAGACCATAGACAGAGTGAAGAGGTGACCAGAGATGACAAAAAGCTCAAAAACCACAAGAAAGAAAAAAAAGGTCAAGGACGTTGCAGCCTTCTGAGTTGTGAGACCCTTTGTTCTAGGAGGCAGGGGATGCTCTTATGGTTGCTCTGAGGGGGAGGAGGGTAAGGAGCAGACTGCCTTGGGGCAGAAACAGGAGCAGGGGAGCCCCAGGGAACACAGCAAGAAGATGAAGAAAATCTGCCAGGAAGGACACTGTCCTGGGTCACTCAAAACTCTCCAGTCCATGGAGAGCAGCCCTAGGAATGTTAGTAAAGAGAAGTTGGTCAAAGTTGAGGCTCCAGAGTACATCCTGATGGGAGATAGCCCAGAGGTCCCAGCCAAGATGAGAGTGAAAAAAAAAAAAAGGGAGGTGCAGCAAGGCATGTAGGAGCTAGCTCTGAAAAGGAAGAAAAGAGGAAAAAGTGTGGGGTAGCAGGAGACCCTTGGGAGGAGGAACCAGACGCAGACCTAGAGGTGGTGTTGGAAAAGAAAGGCCACATGGATAAGGCAGCACGCATAGGACGGGCGAGGCAAAAGGCCTTGCAAGGAGGGAGTGATCCTGAGTGGGGCAGAATGGAAATTGCTGAAACTAGGAGGTGGACGGGAACCCAGTTTGGCAGTAGGATACTGGTGGTTTTGAAAGGAAGGAACAGAAACTGAAATTTCTCAAACTTACGGGCGACTTTAAAAGCTCTCCCCTTGGGGCAAGCAAGTGGCATAGTGATTAAGGTGCTGGACACTCCCATGTGACTGACCACGGTTTGCGTCTCGGACTGGGTGGCTTGCATTCTCAATTTCCCTCTTTGTGTCTCTCTCTGGTCAAGTTAAAATAAATGAATGAATAAATAAAGTTAAATAAATAATTATTTTTAGAAAAAGAAAACACCTCATCCAGCCACCTCTCTAGCATGGGTGGATGGTCCAATATGGCCTTCAACAAGAAGGCCACTGACAGCTACCACCAACTACCCGTAGTCAGAACTGTGACTATGCTTGAGCTGGGAGCACAACCACAGAACCCGGTTCAGCTTCTCCACGGCCCCCAACTAAGTCTTTTATACTGACAAGAATGCTTCTAGGTCAATTAAATTGGAAGGTTAAACTTAAATTGGAAGATTAAACTCAAGTGTCTCCCCCCCCTCCAAAACCAAAAATCCATTGACCATGAATTTAAGAGTTGAATTATGGACTCCATGCTGTTCCGTTGATCCACATGTCCATCCTTTTGCTGTTATGTCACTCTCTATCTTTCTTAAGTTGATAATTTTTATTTTTTTCCTAAAAGGATATAATTATTTCATTTATGTTTGGTTTTTGGAGCACATTTTATTTTATAATACTGGACAATTAACAAGTAAAAACACAGTAAAACAAAAATGGAACTCTGTTCTATTCCCCTCCCCCCCCCAATTGCCAGAAGATACTCACCAGAGGCAGGCATGCAGACAGATAGGAGAGAAAACCCCTCAGTGGGACGTGGTTATGTCACAATCTCATCTCCTCCATTTCTCTATCCTGTTAGGATTTGGGGCATGCGTGCACATGTACCCAGTGCAAGCTGCCAAGGTTGGGATTTGAACTGTGGTTGGCCATGTGTGATCTAGCTCCTTTAACTACTGGGGCCAACCCCAAACACCAATCTATTTAAAACTTACATAATGGGTGGGGCCAGCAGGTGGTGTGGTGATTAAGGGTGCTGGACTCCCACATGGCTGACTGTGGTTCGAGTCCTGGACCTGGTGGCTTTCTCTTGCTCTCTCTCTCACTCTGTCCCTCTCTGATCAAATTAAAGTAAAAAAATAAATAAATAAAGTTAAAATAATAATAATAATTTA